GATTGCTTTCTCAAAAATCGAAGAGGCATCGTTCTCCGAATCTCGAGAGCCAGATACCACAGACCACTTTTTCAAAGTGCTCTGACAGAGTTAAAACATGTGAAACTGGCAGCTCCCACTACCGTGCTATGACCAAGCAGGGTAAAGGAATAGCATTACTACTTGTTGTTAGGGAGACTCCTATATATGTCGACCTCCATCCCCAACGGACAGGCAGACCTGCAAAAATGCTCAACCCTTCATCATATCTGAGAGGGCACTCCCAACGAAGCCTTTCGAAATATTCAGCTTTCTTTCCCCCCGATAATACCTCTGCAAACAAGCTATACTAGAGCAAGAATATCTCATATCATCAGGGTTAAAAGCAAGAGTATCCCATATCATGCTTTTTCCCTGTCTTTTCCTTTGGCCTTGTTTTTACCTGCAAGACAAGGAGAAAAGAGAGCAATCAGTCAGCACTTGGAATCAAGCTTCCAGCCAGGAACTGACTGCCTGGAACCCCTTACCTGATTACTTACCTGGCATTGCTCTCGAGTACTCATCTTCAACATCTTATGTTTCCAGGGAAGATTTCCGCATCTGCTTGAGGAACAGATAGGGCAAGTGCGAAGGATACAAGGAAGCATGTGGAGACAAGCGTAACAGCACACGTGCCGATACATCCATTACTCTGTCAAAAGCAAAAGTATCCCATATCAGCAGGGTGGAACGTACTCTAGATTTGATGGACTTGTTTTGACCCTCAAATTCTTCAGTCGGCCTTATACTCTGGAGGAAACCAGAAAACCCTCCAGCTCAGTTCAAGAATAAGCCTGTGGAAAGTTACTTCTTCAAAAGCAAAAGTATCTCATATCATCTCTTCTCATTTTTCTTCTCTTTATCCTTCATGCTGCTGCAAGATGGGGAGAAGGTGAACAATCAGTCGGAGCTCTGATTGCTTACCTTGTCTGTCACCTCTTTCAGCAGACCCCCTAGCTCGGCGACTTGGGGGACTCCTACTACATGGTTTGTATCGCGCTTGACCAAGCCTGAAACTACAAGTAAGCTTCAAGTGAAATTGATACATTACCTTGTGCATCTCCACCAGTTAAAGATACCACCCCTGGATGGAGGAAGAGTACTTCCAGAGAAGATGCCACATCTACCTATGAGACAGATAAGGCAAGTCAAGACGACACCACACTCCGATACTTAGAAGTTTCGTGATTACGAGATCATTCTCCCACAATATTTCCTAATGTCATTTGTACTAAATCATTCACTTGTACTCACTAAAGGAGAGCTTGAACCTATGTACTTGTGTAAACCCTTCACAATTAATGAGAACTCTTCTATTCCGTGGACGTAGCCAATCTGGGTGAACCACGTACATCTTGTGTTTGCTTTCCTATCTCTATCCATTTTATATACTTATCCACACTAATGACCGGAGCAATCTAGCGAAGATCACAAAAAGCGACCGTTTTCGCTACCTAGGATCTATCTTGCAAGAGAACGGAGAATTAGATGGAGATCTCAACCATAGAATACGAGCTGGATGGATGAAGTGTAAGAGTGCATCCGGCGTGTTGTGTGACCGTCGTAGGCCACTGAAGCTCAAGGGAAAATTTTATAGGACGGCAATAAGGCCAGCGATGTTGTATGGCACAGAATGTTGGGCGGTGAAGCATCAACACGTACACACAAAATGGGTGTAGCGGAGATGAGGATGCTTTCGTGGGATGTGTGGGCACACGAGAAAGGATAAGATTGGGAATGAGGATATCCGAGGTAAAGTAGGAGTAGCCGAAATTGTAGGAAAGATGAGAGAAAATCGGCTCCGGTGATTTGGACATGTGCAAAGAAGGCCGACTGACGCTCCGGTTCGAAGATGTGACTACGGGACAGAGGTTCAGGGCCGAAGGGGTAGAAGAAGACCTAGGAAAACTTTGGAAGAGACTCTAAGAAAAGACTTAGAGTACTTGGATCTAACGGAGGACATGATACAAAACCGAGCGCAATGGCGTTCTAGGATTCATATAGCCGACCCCACTTAATTAGGACTCATAAGAAATTTATAATCCACTCATGGGAAAAGTTTTTCCCGTATTAAGCACTAATATATTTTTAACGTCTAATTAGATCGGGTAATCATTCAAAAATTAAGAACAGAAGCTCATTACTTTTTGTTTCCCTATAATTGGAACCGTAGTAGGGCTCTACCCATTTATTCACTCGACCAAATTCATTTTTTTTATTACACGACAAGAATTCAAAAAATTTAAATAAGGTTTTGGGTGGGAAAAGGCTTTGTTGTTGTTGTTGTTGTTGTTGATTGACAAGCGAGACTAAATTTCAGTCATATCCCTCGGTGGCAAATAGATGTAAATTTCTTAAAAGAAAATTTTGCAGATCCTCAAACGGATGGAGGAGAACCAACCATCTGTTTGCTTCATATTTCACTTAATGGAGGACATGGGCATGGCAAAAATGTTAACAAGCTGATCAGTGCTGGAAATGTACTTTATTGAAAACTTATGTGAAGTGATCAACTATAAACGTTGTGGACCAGTTATCCACCCTTAACGTACAAGAAGCAGGCTAGACAACAATCCACAAGCAGGTACTTAAAACTAATTTGAGTATTAAAGAACAGCTCCTCTTAATCAGTTCATATAGCCGAAAAAGATAATCCCAAAATTTAGAAAACACTGAAGCCCAAAGGAAAGGACTGCAACTTTATCCCATCACTCCATCTCAACTACCCCAATATAGTTTCCAAATATCCTTTTGACACAGCAAACCAAGAATTTTTGCTTTCTAACCACCACCCAACAAGGATGGAACACTTTAGGGGGGGGGTCTCTACTTGCAACCAATTCACAAAAAAGAATTACAATTAGCTGGAACCATCCAACTCACATTTCCTTCCCTAAACAGTAGGACTCCAATGCACCAAATAGCCAAATCCTTTTGGTGAAACACCGTCCAAAACAAAGTGATGGTAAATTTCAATTGGCATGGGGAGAAAAATATGCAATCACTCAATAGCTGAAAATTCTGGGGTGAGTTCAGCTGTTGTGATAGTCTAGGGTCAATATTCGACTTCTATGGAGGACCAAGCCACAGTGGCTCGTTTCTTGGCCCCTATTAATTGGTTTAGGTCCACAACACACAAGGAAACTAGTAGTGGTGATTTACTGGCATTGGATTGAATGTTCCTCGTAGTCTAACCAACTTCAAGAACCCACAAGTCCTGCTTCATACCTTGCAATACTCGAATCTATAAAATGCTTAATTTAAAAGAGTGTAATAGCCAATGTCAAGTGCTATTAAGAGCTGATTCATTTGTCTAAGGACTTAATTTCTATCAGTCTCCTATTATTTTAATGAGTCTTTCAGTTTAAGGTATTTTTTATAAAGAGACTGTACAAAATAAGATGAACAAGTCCCACCCAACCCAAACCGAGATCAAATATCAAAGAGAAGAACAGTCTAGAAGAATCACACTAAGGGTAATATCATTCAATGTTTTAGACCTAGAAGCCCACAAGGAAGAAAAAAAAAATGATTGTCCTAAGGTGAAGCCACAATGTCTTCTTTATTCTAAAACATTCCCTATTTATACTTCACCAAACCACCAAAAAGAAAAGCCAAAAAAGCACAGTTTCACAAGGTGATCAATATCTTGTTAAAACCATTAACCAAAAAGAAATTGCAGAGCAAAGAGTAAAAGTTTCTTGGAATCACCCTATCCACCCCAAAGGAAGAAGCACAATGTACCAAATTTGAGTCGCAATGGAAAAAATGTAAGATGTGATCCGAATATTCACCATTAAAGCTGTATTGTATACACCAATGAAGAAACAATGAAGTGTAGGGCTTTATTTTTTTGAAACAAATCCAAGGTTTTAAGTTTTTCATGAAATCAACCAAGCAAGAATGTGAACTTTAGTAATCTTATAAGGACAAAGGGCATGAAGGAAAGGAATATCAAGGTAAGAAAGGAAGGGCAAATAGCCCCCTGGCTAACCCAAATTCTTTTACCAGGACAACAAGGAAGAAACACAACATTGCTAATGCACAACACACTGATGAGAAAACTCATTAAACTCCCTCTTACTTATTTTGTTTACTTTCCGATAAGTCTTTTAGGATTTTAATGAGCCATTTAAAATTTCTAGCCGCCATTGAGAATTCTATTTCCCTGTAACTAAGGCTATTCCTTATAAAGCAAAATCAATATGGTTTAATGAAAAAGTATGTCATGTTAAAGGCTAGCTACACCTCCTCCTTTACTTTCTTCTCTCTGTCCTCCCTATTATTTTCTATTTTTCCAATTTCTTTAAAATCACATTGACCCTAAACTTTCTTGCTTTAAATCATATCTATTACTTAGTCCACCATAATTATCGGCAACACCCACCTTACATTGTCCTACATCATCTAGACAAACAAACACTTAGTAATCCAATGAGTATGCTAGAAGTGTATTGTTTAGTTTTAGATAGTAACTTATGCAGATGGTAAGGCTTTATATGAGGATAGCAAACACCTCAAAAATCCTTGAAACTACAACCTGGGATGAATGTATAGCTACATGCACAGAGATTTAGCAGCAGTTACCTACTAGTCAGATGATCAATTAAAACTACTATAGTGGCATTGGCATGAAGCCAAAATTGAAGGGAAAGAACAATTTATACAATAAAGTGAGACCAGTTTCAACAATGTGTCCATGTCTATGTTCTCCTACTCCATTTTGTTGTTGTGAGTGCTTGAGATTTTCTACGCAGGATGTCACACCATCAGTCCTAAGTATTTAGATTTTGGTAGACATCAACTTCTCAAAATAGGCCTTAAATTAGGGGAAACCCCAATAAAGCAATCTGATTTATAAGCCAAAGGAAAATATCGAAGTGCATGTTGTACAATTACCAATGGAAAGACACAGAAATGAAGCGGAATACATTAACGCACGGAAAAAGGATGGAAATATATAGCCAAACTCAAAATCAAACCTGCACTTCAGATGACCGCTTCGTCTTCAAAACCAAGCAATCAACCAGAGAAGTCCATTTCCCAGAACAGTTATCAAGTGACCCAAGTCTATAATACTGCTGCATCTGATGCACCGGAGCTGCCAAACACGAGTACCCATCAGATTAAATGCAAGAGATGAAAATAAACAAAACAACCCCAAAATAGGATGAGTAATATAGCAAACATCTAGAAGAAACAAAATGTTGATATCAGAAACAATTAGCAATAAGATTTAAAGATGTTTGAAGCTTCACTGACACAAAGAATCATCCACAAAATTTAATTGTCAAAAATAAAAAAAATAATAGACCCACCAAGAATTTGCTTTTATAAGCTTGTAAGACTATCAAGTTTGAAGCTTTTTTAAGTGGGCAGCAATGAAATTGCCAGAAATTACCAAACTTCATTTGTGGGCAGGAATTAAATTGGCAGTAAAACCATTTCACCAGAAATTCAATAAAACCAAGTTGAAATCGACCATATATAAAACATTTTATGAACAATTATGCAAAATCCATGTTTCTGTTGAATTAAAATTAAGTTACAAGAGCCGAAAAGTACACAAATTTGAAGGAAATCGCAGCAAAAGCCAGCCGTACAATTGTGAAATTAATTCGTCCGAAATGAAAGAGGAAGAGAACGCAAAGGAGGAGGAGGAGCGTACAATAGCAAAACCAGAGGGCGTCGAAGTAGGTGGCGCACGACAATCGACGCTTTGGCGGGGAAGGTGTTTCTTCCATTGAAGACGTATTATGGATCGGAGATGAGCGAATCAGTATAATAGATCAATAGACCTTTATATTCGTTAGTGATTTTGAATAAGGAAGGACTATCATGTCCTCCTCCTTTACGCAAATGATTTAGCCTCAACTAAACATGTTGATATACTACTTGCTTCCCTAATTGATTACGAATGTGCAGCGATAATAATTCTATGAAAGTCAACTACATTTTACACCTACCAGGTTTAGAGTGATTTTTAAAATAGACCACGTAATTTTCTACTCTCCCAAAAACCGCCCAAAGGGGTGAGGACCATTACACCCAAAAACTCCTCTCATGTCCCTCATCCACCAAATTTATCGATAACAAATAAAAATAAATGAAAAAGATATGAGCAAGGGACTATGCTAATACCCACAAAGACAAAAAAAAAGGATCAACGAAAACGATAATAAAGACAAAACAAAATGTCACGAGTATGAGCAGAGGCTACAAAATCTGGAATCATAAACCACAGTAATTTGCACAACTAATTGCCCCAAACGAATCTAAAGCATCTACAACCTGATTTCCTTCTCTATAAAATATGTGTACACATAAATCGCATTTGACGAAGTTGACAAAGACAATTATTCCAATCCACCGTAACAAACCACGAACCACTTTAGGAGCCTTAAAAAAGATAGTGAATAACCAACTTGGAGTCTATTTCAATCCATAAATGTTTCCAATCTCCGACCTAAGCTATACGCATAGCCTCAATGAAAGCAGGAATTTATGTAGTAACTGAACTTTTGAATTTTTTTGTTTGATGCAAAAGCACCAAGTACCCTACCTTTCAATGAGCGAAAAAATCCCCCAAAATCCAACACGTTCATTGGCACAAGATCCATTGATGTTACCCTTGAGCCACCCAACCATCAGCAACCTCCAGATGACTAGAATAAAGGATGGAGCCACAATAGAAACAGCGAGATACCCATATTGAGAAAATAGGCAACACTGAAGAGGATGAGCTACCACTTGAAAAACACACTAGAGCCAAGTCACGAAACCGAGTAGCTAGCCACGCATAATCCAGGAAAGTAGACTTGCCCTCAAATCGAATTTGATTGCAAAGAAACCAAAGTCCCCAATAAAAGTACAAGCCACTATAATCCAAAGTTTTCGAGTAGAACTAGGAAAATATGTAAGAAAAAGTTTCAGAAATGATATTGATTGAACCACTAAAGCTATAACAACCAAGACCAAATACCAACAGTTTAAGAACGTTCCAAAAAAAATGTGAGATAGAGACTCAACAGTTGAATTACAAAATGAGCAACGAGAAACTATTGAAACTCCCATAAGTTGAGGCATTGTAGTAGTAAGGAGACAACCATGTAAAAACTTTCCAAAATAGTTAGGCTTTACCTTGGTTGAATATGATGAGACCTTTTTCCCAAAGGCACCTGGGTATCAAAGTTAAGCAAGTGAGAATAAGCCTTTTTAGCTATAAGAATACCAGAGAGAGATTCACACCAACATAAAGAATCGGAAGATGTCTGAAACGTTATAGGAGTAGCTATAATTAAAGCAGCAACTTTAGGAAGAAAAAAAATTAATGAAATCTAGCGGCAATTCAATGAGAACCACATATAAAGTCTCTCACTCGTGCTTTGATTGCATAAGCAAGAGCATGAGAGGTGTTAAGATAGGAAATCGATAGACTGCCTAACCAATTATTAGATCAAAAAGAAACTTGAGAACCATCACCTACAATCCAAATTGAATGTGAAGAAATTATAGGGAGAACCTTTTTAAAACCCAGCCACACCAATCCAGTTCGAATATGTCACGATGTGATCTTGTATAGAGACCAGATCATCCAATACATGAAACCCACACAAACTGATGCCAAAGATTGATGAAGCTTTTTGAATTTCACAATAGAGTGAAAAAATTTAGTATTCCTATTCCCTAGAGATAACCAAAGAACTCAAGATTTATCCTTCAAATGCATTTTTTGTAACCGAAGAACCTCATGTACAAGCCCTCGGGCTTGCATTTCTCGTGCAACTCTTGTTGACATGTGGCTCGATATAAATCTTGGTCAATTACTTTGTATTGGTTATCCTTGTTTTTCTCTCCATCACAAACTTGTTTATGGCTTTACGTATTAGAAGGCAAACCATTTGTTTTGTAATAAAAGGAGCTCACGTAGAAATAATTTGTGTGAGCCAATTTGTGAGATTCTTCTTTGTACATTTGTTATCTCAATCAATTAATAAATTGAGAGTTATTTCTTTCATTTTATTTGTTCCATTTGGTGCTCAAGCACAACAATTGGTATCAGAGCCACTAGGCTCATCCATATCAAAGTTTGTATTTGAAATTTGCTTGACAAAGATGGATGATCAATCGGGATCCGGAGGCGCACATCCTTTGCCAGAAACACACGCTTCGCGTTTGGCAAAAACAACAATCCAAAATGCAAAGTTTGAAGTTGAAACGTTCAATGGAACAAATAACTTTGGTATGTGGAATGTGAGGTGAAAGATGTGTTGGCTCAACAAGATTTGGATCTGACGTTAGAAGATAAGTTGGAGGATATGGAAGAAGTTGAGTGGAACAAGATTTGGATCTGACGTTAGAAGATAAATCGAATGGCTTTGCTCTACAATTCACTGTTGGAACTTGTGATTTTGTGGGATTCCCAGTCCCACATCGCCTATTTCCCTAATTTAAGTCCTTTTTATACGTATGTTCTCACACTTATGGTTTGAAAAGAATTGGGCCAAAGCCATGGACCTTGGGCCTTAGACTTGAAGGGTGTGGGTGTATATATTAAATGTCAAAGATGGGTCTTGGGCATTGGGGCTCTTGGGCTCGGATGGACGAAAAACAAAAGTTACGTTTTTTATTTTTTGGATTCAGTTTTTCTGAAAGGATAAAACTGAATGAACAGTTATGTCCATTTTATAACTAATAAGAATGAACGGTTACATTTGTTCAAGTTATGTCATTATATATATGGCAATAAGATCAGAAACTTAACAATTAATTTCCAACGTTTCCTTTTTCATCTTACACAGAGAAACGCACAACCAATTCGCCAAGAATCCAAGTTCGAGTGCAAGAACTTGGATTAGATAGTTGTATCCTGCAAGATAGACGTCCATTGAACTATTGCACGGGTGTAGGGGCGAATTTCTGTCTTAGGTGATTGCATTTGCAAGCCTCTATCTTCAAAAAACAAGTCAGTGATTTGTGATTTTATATGCAATTTACTTAAGTGTTTATATTTTGATATTTATTGTATCTGTTGTTAAATTTTTCATTCGAAATAAACTGTGCAAATTATATATATTGTATAAGTGACATTTGATTGGTTTCTAACATTCGCTTATGTCTTGCAAAACCTCAAAAGTATTTTGTCATGCGAGAAACGTCAGCTAAGTCGATATGGCAAAAATTGGAGGACAAGTACATGACAAAGAGCAACGAAAATCGCCTCCATTTGAAAAAGCAGTTATACTGATTCCAATACAAAGAAGGTATGAAAATGATTACACACCTCGATTCATTTAACAAATTAATCGCTGATTTGTTAAATTTAGATGAAGATGTCAAGGATGAAGATAAAGCCTTGATTTTGTTAAATTCATTACCTGAGGCGTATGATCATTTAGCTACTACTTTAATTTATGGTAAAGACACCATAAATTTTGAAGATGTGTCTAATGCATTGATGAACCATGAAGTTAGACATAAAGATAAGCAAGTCCAGAATACAACATCAGGTGCTTTGTTTGTTAGAGGCAAAATGAATGAAAGATGGAGATTCAATAACAAAAGAAGATCTCAGTCTCAACCATGAGGTAATTCACAAAATAGAAAATTATTAGACAAAGATGAATGTGCATTTTGTCATACAAAGGGACATTGGATAAAGGATTGCCCTAAGTTGCAGAAGAATAACAGAAACACCAATGCTAATGTTGCACTTAGTGATGATGAATCTGATTATGCTTTGGCTGTTACTTCTACTTGTGATTCTGATGTATGGATTTTGGATTCTGGTTGTTTTCATCATATGTGTCCAAATCGAGATTGGTTTACCAATCTAGAAGTTGTAAAGGCAGGAACTGTTATTATGCATGTGATAAAAAGGGAGTAGGAACAATTTAAGTTGAAACACCATGATGGCAAAGAATTGTCTAATGTGTGGTGGAAAGCAATGGGTTTAATGTAAATATGTCAGATGGTGTTCTAAAAGTTATTAAAGGTGCTTTGGTTACGATGAAGGGAATCCGAAAGCAGAATATATATTTCATGCAGGTGAAAACAGTTTTAGGTGGTGCAGCCACAATTTCTGAAAAACCAGATACTGACAACACCAAGTTATGGCATATGAGACTTGGACATGTTGGTGAAAAAGCTCTTCAAGCCCTTGTGAAACAGGTACTGCTAAAAGGAGCCAAAACTTGCAAACTCGACTTCTGCGAGCATTGTGTCTTGGGTAAGCAAACCAAAGTTAAATTTGGTACTGTTGTGCATCAAACTAAAGGAATCCTAGATTATGTGCATTCAGATGTTTAGGTTCCTACCAAGACTGCATCATTGAGTGGTAAGCATTGGTTTGTAACTTTTGTTGATGACTACTCTAGAAGGGCTTGGGTTTATACAATGAAACACAAAGATGAGGTGTTAAATATTTTCTTAAACTGGAAGAAAATGGTTGAAAACCAAACTGGTAAGAAAATTAAAGTTTTGAGGTCAGATAATAGTGGTGAATACACCTCTAATCCATTTTTCAGAGTTTATACAGAAAAATGTATAATAAGGTATTTCACTGTTCGTGGTACTCCTTAACAAAATGGAGTTGCTGAAAGGTTGAACAGAACGTTACTCGAAAAGGTTAGATGTATGTTGGCTCAATTTGGTTTAAGTAAGGCATTTTGGGCATAGGCAATTACATATGCTTGTCACATTATCAATCGTTTACCTTCATCTGCAATTGAAGGTAAAACACCTATTGAGAGGTGGACTGGAAAACGAGCTTCTGATTATGATTTTCTTCATATTTTTGGTTGTCCAGTTTATTTCCATGTGACTCAAAGTAAGCTTGATCCAAGAGCCAAGAAGGCTATTTTTGTGGGCTTTAACAACGGTGTCAAAGGTTACCGTTTGTGGTGTCCATATTTGAAGAAACTTGTAATCAGCAGATATATGACTTTTGACGAAACTTCTATGTTACAAAGCAACTCAAAGACAAGCATTGATACAACTCAAGTTCCTATGAGAAGTTTTCAGGAGGTGGAGTTTGAAAAGATTGCTACCAATATTCCATTACATGTTTTGACTGAACAAGAAGTAAATGAAGGTCAAGAAGATAAAGACGTCTTTTCCCAGGATGAAGAAGAGGCTCATACCCAACAGCCTCCAGTTATAGAGTGCATTGCTACAAGCAAAGGCAAGAGAAACACAAAGAGACCAGCAAGATATAGTGATTATGTTACTTATGCTCTTCCTATTATTAATACAGAAATCCCAGAAAGTTACAAGGAAGCTATGAACAGCTCTGAAAATACAAAGTGGGGTAAGGCTATGGATGAAGAAATGAATTCTCTTGTGAAGAACAACATTTGGGAGTTAGTTCAATTGCCTCCCAGCAAGAGCTATTGGCTGCAAATAGGTGTATACTAAAAAAGAAGGTCATCCAGGAGAAGACAATGTAAGATTCAAAGCACAAGTTGTAGCAAAAGGATATGCACAAAAGGAAGGTATTGATTATAATGAAGTACTTTCTCCTGTTGTGAATCATTCATCTATTCGTATTATGTTAGCCTTTGTTGCACAATTTGATCCTAAACTAGTGCAACTTGATGTTAAGACAGCTTTCTTACATGGAGATCTTGATGAAGAAATTTACATGTCTCAACCTGATGGGTATCATGTAACTAGAAAAGAGAAATGGGTTTGTAAATTGAATAAGTCTTTGTGTGCATTGAAGCAATCTCCAAGACAGTGGTATTTGAAGTTTGACGAATTCATGAGAGGTCAACATTATTTAAAAAGTCAATATGATCATTGCGTTTATTTCAAAAAGTTACAAGATGGGTCTTTCATTTATTTATTATTGTATGTTGATGATATGTTAATTGCATCGAAGAATGTTAAGGATATTGAAAAGTTGAAAGCACAAATAAAGAACAAGTTTGAGATGAAACATCTTGGTGAAGTGAAAAAGGTACTCGGTATGGAAATTACTCGTAACCAAGAAAAATGTATGGTGTATCTTACACAAAAGCAATATTTGTGTAAATTGCTTCAATGTTTTGGTATTAATGATGCCACCAAACCTATATTGCTCATGATGTTGGTTTGGTTAGTCACTACATGCCCAATCCAAGAAAAGAACATTGGCAAGTAGCTAAGTGGATTCTAAGATACCTACATGGGACTAGAGATGTCGGCTTATGTTTTCAACGAAGTGATAATAGTTTTGAGAATTTTGTGGTTGGATATGTTGATTCTGACTATGATGGAGATTTGGATAAAAGAAGATCGACTACTGGCTACTTATTTACCATGGCCAAAGGGCCAATTAGTTAAAGGTCCACACTACAATCCACAGTCGCTTTGTCAACAACGGAGGCCGAATATATGGCTATTGCAGAAGCTGTAAATGAGGCCATTTGGATACATGGACTGATAAAGAATCTAGGAATTTATTAAAAGCAAGTGGAGCTACATTGTGATAGTCAAAGTGCTATTCACTTGTCAAAATACCAAGTTTATCATTCGAGGACAAAGCATATCAATGTTCAGTTTCATTTTATTAGTGAGATTTTGTCCAAAAGAAAGATTATTCTTCAGAAAGTTCCAACTGCGGACAACCCAACTGATATATTAACTAAAGCGCTCGGACCTGCCAAGTTTGAGCATTGTTTGAACATAGCTCATATATGTGCCTGAATATGTTTGTGATTACGAATCTCGCCAAGGTGGAGATTGTAGACATGTGGCTCGATATAAATCTTGGTCAATTACTTTGTATTGGTTATCCTTGTTT